GAAGAAGAAGTTTCTGTTTTTCTTATAAACCTGGCAAATGCTTTAGATTTAGAGATCATATGACCCATCGACTAGACAAGTTATTTACAAGCTAGAGATAACAGTCATTTATGTTATAATTGAAACAACCCATTTAGGCATGGTCCACCCATTTTGCCACCTATTGAGTGCATTTTGAACCTATTGAGAAAATGAAAGACTTGGGATTTAGATCATTATATTTCATGATTTCAACCGTTCATCTTACTTCTTCTTTTCTCTCTCAAAAAGAGATAAGCTCTAAATATTCAGTATTTCATCTTATAAATATTACGACAACATAAATATGTTTTTGCTGCTAATGTTATATATATATATATATATATATATATATATTTGGCTGCATTATGTTATGAATTTTCAAGACTATGAAAGTGTGGATATTCCATTCACCCAGCTGGTGCATGCGTTTGGAGCGGCATGTCTGTTTTGTGTTTTGCACGTGAATGCTTGTATGCATGTATATCTGCATGTGTGCACCTGTCTATTTTCGTATGAGAGGGGAGTGCGGGATGTTAGATGATTCTGATATTGAGATGTGAGTCCTGTAAGATTTGACAGCAGAAGTATAATGCATGTTAATATCTAATTCGCCATAATTCAATTATTAACCATGGTACTAGAACCAGGTTCGGAGTAATTAATTCAATCAACCATTTCTTATAGTTCATAGTTCAACACGATGCGTACAACATAGTGCATGAAGGGGCAGCTTACATCTATAAATAATCGCTTGAACTGTTTCTTATTGACTTAATCTTTGGAGTGAAAGTCACCATCAATTATCTAATAGTGTATACACCAGTTAAACAAAGAAGTCAAGAATTGAGCAATTCACTGACCTTACAGTATCTAGGTATCAGCTAGACAAGAATGAACAACTCATTCAGATGAATTTGCTGCATGTATATATATACTATCAGAAGAAGAGGGAGCATTTGATATTTAAAAGCATTTCCAGGCCCTCTTCAATTTTCTACTTATAATATTTGCCACCAACTTCCCCATTGAGCAAGTAAGTGGGTTTGTGGGAAAACCATAAAATTGATTCTCTTCATTATTGTTGTTTTGTTGTTTTATTTTGTTTCTTTTAGCCTGTCATTGCACAATAGGTATATCTATTGCTTTGTGAATTATGCAGGCAGCCAAGGAGTTTGAGTCCGAGCTTAAAAAGGAACCTGACTCCGGGACAGAATCATCGATTGAGAAACCTACCGCCAGTAACAACGAGGATAAAGAAGAGAAAGTCTCAGTCTCGAACGATAGTGTATGAATGTATGATAGACAGAACTCTAAGATTTTTACTGGGCAGTTGATCTTATTTTGACTGTTTGTATCGCCGAGCTTAAAATTACTAGTTATGCATATTAAATGTAATTTATTGTTAGTTTCTGAGTAACTGTCTTGGGATTAAGCCATCATTTGAGCTGTTTGATCCCTTGTTTTCTTGTGTTTACTCTACAAATTAACCAAGAAGTTGATCCAGAGGGATATGACTCATCTCAAAATTTACCAGCTTCTTTTTTACCTTCCCAAAAAGTTACCCTAAAAGTTGATTGAAGGGGGATGATTTCATTGGTGAGTCTGTTATCACCTTTATAAAGAGATGAAAAGGCTTGTTTGGTGGGTCATTATTATTACTGTATTCACTTAATTTTAGTTATAAAAAATTCATATATTTTAATCGACGTCACACGCACATAAATTATACACAATTTTCTGACGAGAAAAACATAGAAATATACAGTTCGACTCGATCCCTCAACCTCTATCGAGGTTATTATTGTATTATCACCATTAAATCGCCTCAAAAATGAATCAAGCAGCCAAAAATCACATTCATGTGTATTGTATAAGTAGGAAAAAACTTCTAACTTGATATTGC